CCCTGTTTACTAAAAGGAAATCTTTGGATGGTGCTGAGTTGATACACTCAATGCTGTTCTGTAGGTTTTTAATAGATGTCTATTCTTTGACAGAGCCTTTCAGTGCCTACCCACTGGCTTCTCAAAATAAACTCCAACTCCTTGGCATGACATTCCCAGCCGTCTGTCATCTGGCTCTCACCTGGTTCTCTGGGATCAGCCTCATACACTCAGCTCCACACAGCTTAAACCTTGAGTGGGTGGTCTTCTCTTGAACAATGCACCTTTACACCTGCTGCTCCCTCTGCCTAGCAGGCCCTGTACCTGCTCCTTGCCACCTGGCAAGCCCCGTCCATCTCCCAGGGCTCAGTTCGAGTGCCCCTACTGTGGGCCTCCCTGGCCCACTCCCTTCTGCCCCCTGCTTTGTGCCTGCATTGTGGACCTAAAGGTGGCCATCATCTTTATTGATAATGGTCATCTCTATTGCCCTGATTTATTATGGCATACCTGACTTATATTTGTTTTTCCCCCTTTAAACCATGAGCTGTGTAAGGTCTAGGGCTGTTCTCCAACTGTCATCTTCCACATCTGTAAAATGGAGTTATCTTGTTCATCTTAGGGGGCTGTTGTGAGGAACAAATGCCGTGTTTAACTCAGAAACAGGAGCCTCAAGGTGACAGTCGTTAAATAGTGAGGGGGTCTTTTAACCTAGATCTAGCTAACTCCCAATCCCGTGCATGCCCCCTTGTCCCACTCAGGGATGGAACTACTAGAAGGCCAAGTCTTGTACCTGAAAGAACTCAGAGTTCTGACCACCCCGCAACAATTAATGTGCATTTTACAGATCAGGATGTGGAGCCTCAGGGAAGTACAATGGCTTACCCAGAGTCACATGACTAATTCATGACAAGTGTGGTTCTGGAGTCCATCTCCCCAATCCTGTTTCTCATCTTTCCCTGCCTCTGTATCTGCCTCATAAGACACACAATTCATACTTCCTCGAGGCAGTGTAAGAGGCATCATTACCCCACTTGACCAATATAGGACAGGGGCATGGTCTTGCCTGAGGGTTTCTCAGCTACATGTAGACAGCCCGGATCACAGCCCACAGGGCACAGCTGGAGGTTTCTTCCTCAGTCGTAGCCCTAAGCTTGTCCATCTTCCCCCAGACCCCATTAGCCCACCTCGTTCTAAGGGGGATAGCAGGCAGGTCCAAGGTGTGGACGGATGCTGAGATACCTTCAATTCTGTTAACTCTTCCACATTAACTGGCTCAGTGACCTTGAGCAGGGAATAGGCATGTGAGTCTGCTTGTGCCCATCTGGCTGGGACCATAGCTCTTACTGCTGAGCTGCTGATGCACTTGCTGCTGGGAGTAGAGTGAAGTCCTGTCACTGCATAGCTCTGGAAGAGGTGGCAGTAAGGGTGGCAGGGCTTGGATTTCCTCAAGACTGCTTGTTGGTGGGATGCTTACTCTGCTACCCCAAACCTTGCTCATGACCTCCATGAGGCCACACTATCCTGTTCTCCAGTGACTATGTGAGAGGTCAGAGGAGCTCCTGTATGGCCCTGTGGCCAGCTGTGTGAGAGCACCATTCCTCAAGCTGCTACACTGCAGGGCGTGAATCCCAGCTCTTCTACTCAGTGTAACCTTGGGAAAACCACAAAACCTCTTTATGCCTCAGTTCCTTTATCCCAAAAGGGCAATAATAATAGAAATCCTGCCTCACCGGGTTGTTGTGAAGGCTGACACTGTTGATATCCATCGAGCATTTAGGATGGTGTCTGGAATATAGACAGCACTAAACAAGTGCCAGTAGTAGGGGAGGAGCTGGCACTCATGGAGCACACGCCAGTGCCAGGGGCTCCGTGAGGCACTTTGTGCCTGGTTCCTCTTACTGTGAACCAAACCCAGGTGTGGGCCTCCCAGACTGTGGGCCCCAGCTCTTCCTCGTCACCTTCCTGAGTGTGCCACAAGCTGCTCACCTGAAGGGTCACCTTGCAAGCCAGGAGCTTGGCCTGAACCAGACCTAGACCTTGTGTCTGACTCCTGTTCAAGTGTATGCTCTTTCACTGGCTCTTCCTGGGACTTCGGGACCAACTGTCATTGAAAATTTCCATCTGCAGAGTACTTTGTCCTCTCCAGACCCTTTGCTGTTGAATTCATGAAACCAACACTTATGAAATGCTACTATGGGGAGCCATGCCATGCTCTGGAGGGCAGCAGAGGCAGTGGGTACAGCTATGGCTTTGGAGTATGATGGGCCTGAGTTTGAGTCTACCATTTCCATTTATCTAGGGGACCTTGCACACGTCCTTGCCTGTGACAGCCCCTATTTCCTGACCTGCAAAATGGGGCAGGAATGCCTTCCTCAGGGGGCTGCTGTGAGGGTTTAATGAGACAGTGTAGGTCAATGCCAGGCATAGATAGGTGCCTGATCGGTGCCCACATTTCTGTCTTCACCTTCACTCTTGCACAGAAATTCATCAGGTCACCGGGCAGCTCTCAGCTCTTCTTTACAGAACAGCCCAGGGACTCACTAGATGTCACCTGGTAAGTTGGTGGTAGAGTGGGGACTAGATCCAGTCTCCCGCCTCGCAGCCTGAGCTCTGCTGCTACATGCCAAGGTGTCCATCAGGGCCTAGACTGTGGAGACACAGAGGCTGGCCCTCTCCCAGGGAGTTCACTCCTCAGGGTATTTTGTGGGAGTAACAGGAGGAGGGAGGAAGATGTGCGCACACATACACACACACGCGCACACACACACAAATACACACGCACACACACAAACACACTCACATGCACTCACACACACAAACGCACACACACGCACACAAGCGCACACACACACACTCACACACGCGCATGCGCACACACACGCACGCGCACATGCACACACGCACACACACCACGCTCTCACAACCACTAGTATCTCCAGGCACCAGGACCAAGCACAGCTTCATACTTCCTGTCAATGAGGCAGTGACCTCTGCTCCTCCCCGATTCTGCCTTCCTCCCCGCTCTCTTCTTCACTTGTTCTTCCTCTTCCCCTTGCTGTCCCAAATAGGTGTGGTGTTACATTCACTAAGGGCCCTTTCACTTTCCTAGGCTTCTGTCTCTTCATCTATGAAACAGGCAGAGTTGGGGCAGGAGGGTGAGGACTTATACTCTGAATTTTATGGTCATCAGGGACAGACTCCCTGTGAGTCCATAATTTGAGGCCCTTGGACTCAGCTGAGGGTGGACAGGGGTCCAGTGCCAGGTCAAGGGAGGGTCTAGAGTGGGTGCTGCTGTGCAAATCACACTCTGGGCCAAGCAGAGACCTCAAACTGTCTTGCCTCAAACCTTGGCTTTTCCTACTGCAGTATGCTGCCTCTGAAC